CAGGGATTGGGTTAGTTCCTACAGCGCCTGAAGCAGAGTGTGAGATGAGGAACTCTGGTGGTTCTCCTGGATATTGTCGATACCAGAAGTAATACTGAGCATTAGATCCAGCTTTGTAGGACAGAGTAACAGAGCTGCCTTCTGGACTGAACTCTTCTTTCTGTACTGCAGTGAGATCTTCACAGCTGACCCCTAAAATTAAAATAAATGTTGTATTTTATTTTTCACAACCCTGAAGAAATGAATCACATCAAACATGTGACTAAATACATTCAATAAAAATTGAACATACCTGTTAAAATGATAAGAAGCATCAGTGATGACGGCATGTTGAATGAAGGTGATGATGATGATGGTCTGTGTTGAACTCTGGTGAATATGGAAGTTCCTCTCTCTTCTATAGTTCCATCTTAGCTCCTCCCTGAATCTCTCTGTCTGCTCTTAGATCTCTATTTCACTTCTCTCAGTTACACTTCCTCCTGGGTGACAGATCCAAAGGCAGTCTGGAAATAAAACGTCAGAGGACCTAGGATTGAACCCTGTGGTACACCACAGTTAATCCCAGACCAACAGCGAATTGTAATTTATTAAGTTAAGAAAAAAAGTAATCAAAACTGAAGTGCTTGATGTGTACCAGTTTATTGAGGGATGTGATTCAAGCTGCTGTTCCAATAGAACCTATGATCAGATTGTGCTCAGAGATTAACTGAATCCAATGAGAAAGTGAGAGGACCTAGGATTGATCCCTGTGGTACACCACGTGCAATCACAGACTCACAGAAAAACTTATTTTAAGTTCATGGACACTACTTACTTTTATTTCAACGTGTGATAAAAGGCCAGATTCAATGGTTGAGTTAAACATTTGAACCTGTGGATGTGAATCAAAGGCAGTACATGTTTTTGCATAATAGTGAAATGTACATACAGTATAATTCAAATGATCAAGCAGGTAAACTACATTACTGTATCATCACAAACTATTGATGTTTAACAGAGAGAGGCTCCCTCTGGTGGATGTTGATCAGTATTGTGTTGTCTTTGCTCCAGAGGTTTTTGTACAGAGTGTTGGTGTTTCCTGTCACTGTGGGCCTCAGAGCACAGTAGAACACAGCAGAGTCTGTCACTGCAGCAGAGGAGATGATCAAATTGATTCGGTTTGACTCCACTGTAATATTCAGTCCAGGGATTGGGTTAGTTCCTACAGCGCCTGAAGCAGAGTGTGAGATGAGGAACTCTGGTGGTTCTCCAGGATATTGTCGATACCAGAAGAAATAATCACCAGCTGCTTCTTTGGAGTATCTGTAGGACAGAGTAACAGAGCTGCCTTCTGGACTGAACTCTTCTGTTTTGACTGGAGTCAGATCGTCACAGCTGACGCCTGAGGGAAAGATTAACTCTGTTATTTCATGTTATAAAAGTTATTTTAGCAAAACCACACTCAGAAAGCAAGAGTGCAACAAACCTGATAAGATTGCAAAACATATCAGAGAAAAAGCTGAGTTCTGCAGGGACAGCATGTTGAATGAAGGTGATGATGATGATGGTCTGTGTTGAACTCTGGTGAATATGGAAGTTCCTCTCTCTTCTATAGTTCAGGAACATCTTAGCTCCTCCCTGAATCTCTCTGTCTCCTCTTAGATCTGTATTTCACTTCTCTCAGTTACACTTCCTCCTGGTTATCATGTTATCACGTGTGTGTCGTCTGCATAGCTATGGTAACTTATTTCATTGTTATCCATTAACTAAGCTACTGGAAGCATTTAGATGTTAAAGAGAAGAGGCCCCAGGATGGAGCCTTGAGGAACCCCACATATCCGTCAACTAAGATGTTGAGTTAGCTATAGAAACAAAGTTGCTCCTGTCCTTTAAGAAGTATTCAAATCAATAAAAACAGTGCCCGAGTCCCACCCAGTTTTCCAGTCGGTCTAGTAATATGTTGTGGTCAACAGTTTCAAATGCAGCGCTGAGATCTAATAATACTGACAGTGAGATTCTGCCACTGTCTGTGTTTAAGTGGATGTCATTAAAGACGTTAATTAGAGCAGTCCTATAGATGTTCATCAGTGAAGCGCCAAAGTTATTCATTTTGAGAAATTTGATGACTGCACTTTTCAGGGCCTGTGGGAATAAATATGAAAAACAGGAAGTGTTGGTGAAGGTCCATCAGGAGTCTGGCACCTGGTGGAATGCTCTCATTGAACATTATTAGGATAAATGAGAGAGATAAATTAAAGTAACGTGGTGTTGAAGCATCAAATAAAGGAGGCCTCTCTGCTGGGGGTTGAGTTCTTTGAACATTAGTTGTGTTGTTTCCCTAAAGTCTAACAGAGAGAGACTCCCTCTGTTGGATGTTGATCAGTATTGTGTTGTCTTTGCTCCAGAGGTTTTTGTACAGAGTGTTGGTGTTTCCTGTCAATGTGGGCCTCACAGCACAGTAGAAGACAGCAGAGTCTGTCACTGCAGCAGAGGAGAGGCTCAGATGTATGTTCTTTCCTGCAGACAGTTTAGAAGAGAACTTTGTGTCTGATTTCAGAGACTCTGCTAATCTTGTAAAACTTGTTCCTGAGATGTAGAGAAGAAACTCTGGTGGTTCTCCTGGATATTGTCGATACCAGAAGAAATCATCACTACCCGTTATAGTTTTGGAGTATCTGTAGGACAGAGTAACAGAGCTGCCTTCTGGACTGAACTCTTCTCTCTGTAATGCAGTGAGATTTTCACAGCTGACCCCTGAAGAGAGGAGTAATTCAAAAGACTCAGTTAATAGATCACATTTGATCAACATTAGAAGTTAACGTTTTCATGCAGAATGTTACGTACCTCTTAGAATGGAAACTAACAGTAGGGAATGTAAATAATAGTCTAATGACAGCATGTTGAATGAAGGTGATGATGATGATGGTCTGTGTTGAACTCTGGTGAATATGGAAGTTCCTCTCTCTTCTATAGTTCAGGAACATCTTAGCTCCTCCCTGAATCTCTCTGTCTCCTCTTAGATCTGTATTTCACTTCTCTCAGTTACACTTCCTCCTGGGTAACAGATCCAAAGGCAGTCTGTGAATTAAAAGTCAGAGGACCTAGGATTGAACCCTGTGGTACACACTGGCTAACATGGGACAACATGGCAGAGAGCAGCACTCTCTGGAGGATGTGTTTGAGTTTGTGCCGAGTACAGGGTGGAAGTTCTTCCTCCGGTTACAGATAGACTGAATATATGAATGACCCTGGTACCCTGAACTCAGGGTTCCAGTTATGTGGGAGCCAATGGGAGCTGATCTCATAAGGAGGGTCTGAGCTCCTATGAAAGCAGGGAAGTCATACAACTGTGGGGGTCGGTAATACATTACCAACAACCATTATTTTAAAAGAAAAACAAATATCACCCGTTATTAACGTTATTACCCGGCTGTTATTGATATATTTATCTCCGCCATTAAAGTTAGTTTTAAAGACCCCCATAAAGCTCAGATTATAACTCG